CGGAACCAGGGATATCATTACTGATGTCAGATGGATCCTGGCTGAAAGCAGAGAATACCAGAAAGATGTTTACCTGTGTTTTATTGACTATGCTAAGGCATTCGACTGTGTGGACATTAACAAATTATGGATCACATTGTGAAGAATGGGAATTCCAGAACACTTAATCATGCTCCTGAGGAACCTGTACATAGATAAAGAGGCAGTTGTTCGGACAGAACAAGGGGATACTGCGTGGTTTAAAGTCAGGAAAGGGGTGCATCAGGGTTGCATTCTTTCACCATACCTATTCAGTCTGTATGCTGTGCAAATAATCCGAGAACCTAGATAATATGAAGAACAGGGCATCAGGATTGGAGGAAGACTCGTTAACAACCGGTGTTATGCAGATGACAAAACCTTGCTTGCTGAAAATGAAGAGGACTTGAAGCTCTTACTCAGGAAGTTTAAAGGCCACAGTCTTCAGTATGGATTACACCTCAACATAAAGAAAACAAAAATCCTCACAACTGGACCAACAAGCAACAGCATGATAAACGGAGAAAAGATTGAAGTTGTCAAGGATTTCATTTTACTTGGATCCACAATCAACACCCCTGGAATCACCAGTCAAGAAATCAAAGGCTGCATTGCCTTGGGCAAATCTGCTGCAAAAGACCTGTTTAAAGTGTTGAAAAGCAAAGATGTCACCTTGAAGACTAACGTGCGCCTGACCCAAGCCATGGTATTTTCAATCACATCATATGTATGCAAAAGCTGGACAATGAATAAGGAAGAACGAAGAAGAACTGATGCCCTTGAATTGTGGTGTTGGTGAAGAATATTGAATATACCACTGACTGCCAAAAGAACAAACAAATCTGTCTTGGAAGAAGTACAACCAGAATGCTCCTTGGAAGCAAGGAGGGTGAGACTACATCTTACATACTTTGGACATGTTGTCAGGAAAGATCAGTCTCTGGAGAAGGATATCAAGCTTGGTACAGTACAGGGTCAGTGAAAAAGAGGAAGACTCTCAACGAGATGGATTGACTTAGTGGCTGCAACAGTGGACTCAAGCATAACAACGATTGCAAGCATGGGGCAGGACTGGGCAGTGTTTCGTTCTGTATGACATAGGGTCGTTATAAGTTGGAACCAACTCAATGGCACCTAACAGCAACATCTTTGTTCTGTAGGGTCGCTATGAGTTGGAATCAACTCGACGACATTGGGTTTGGTTTTTATATTAAGCAGAAGGAACCCTGATGGTGCCATTAAGCACTTGGCTGCTAACCAAAAGGTCAGCACTTTGAACCTACCGGCTGTTCCGTGGGAGAAAGATGTGGTAGTCTGCTTCTGTAAAGATTTATAGCCTTGGTAACCCAATGGGAAGGTTCTACTATGTCCTACAGGGTCACCAGGAGTTGGAATCAACTTGACAGCAGTGGGTTTGGTTTTGGGGTTCATATTAAGCTAGAATTAAAGCAAATATTAACATAGTCTCTTAGTTATTTTAATTTTTCATATATTTTTAATATTTAATAACAAACTTCTAGCTGCAAAAGAAACATCAAATTTAATTATTCTAATCCCTTTACTTCAAAAACTAGAAAATGGAGGTTTAAACATCTAGTAGCAACTGTTCTTATTTCACTCAAGCCAGAATTTACAAAGAATCTGAAACTTTTAAGGTGTTTTTGTTTTCCCCCTGTGGATTCTACAGGCTTGAGGAGTCAGGGCTGAGGGCTTCCGCGCTTTAAATTATCCAGATATATTTGTGACAAAACTATTATTTGTAGCTTCTGGCAGAACAGCTTCTACATCTGTGATTCCCCATCAGCAATAGTATTCCATAAACTGCAGCTGCCCTAAGTCTTTCATGTAATTCCTGAAGCTCCTTAGCGTATTCTCGAGTCATTAAGCATTGAACAATGGGTTTTCAACCTTTGGCTCCTGATGCCAGTAGCAATTTCTTTTTCTTCTGCCTTGGGATCCTAGCCTGAGATATTCTAGAAGTCAAGCCTTTTTCTTTACTAATTTTACTCAAAATACTGTTATAATAGCAATACAGTTTTTGTTAAACAATTAAATAATAACTAGAACTGTACAGATGGGTATATGATTCTTCTTTAGTGCCATTCCTTCCTCCACACATAAAGATACACAGTCCACCCTCATTCTCACTTCTCGGAGTTCTTTTTTATTTTAATACCACAAACATACTGCATAAATTTCCATAACATAAAATTGCATTGTAATTTTAATGTTGTGAGAGCTATAACTTCTTCACTCATCCAACTTTCTTCATTACTCCAGAGCCACTCAACGTTTCTGTACTTGATTCAAAAATATATTAATTGTTGGGGAAGTTGTCTCATTTTGTTTCTTGTTTCACTGTGCTTGCAAAGTAATTGAAGAGAGAAAACCACATACATAAGTACAGAAGGTAGAAAGTTAGCGATTGAGGAGTCCTCAATAATTATATATAAGCGTACTGATGAGCAAATTGAGGCAAAGTGGAATTAAATGTCCTCTCTGAAATCACACAGCTTCAGCTACGGGAGTGACTGGAACCAGAATGCAGGTTTTCAGACTTCCAATCCAATGCTCTTTCCACTTCGTCATATTATAAGCTCTTTCAGAATCACCTTCACTCTCCTGGGGCCTCTATAAATACTCCTGGGATTTACTGGTCCGGTCTTAACTATGCTTCAAATAATAGAAAAAAAAAAAAAAAGTCTTCTCTTGCAAAATGATAGGTAGACATCACATTATAAGTTTAGAGTAATATTTTTTTCTCAGTATGAAGGTTGTTACCTGAGAATGAAAAACAGTGTTATAAAGAAAGGCAGAAACAGCCCAATTATAATAACAACAAAATAAATTCTCTCTCAATTTTTGTTTTTAAGTTAAAGTCTAACACTTCAATTAACACCATCAGTGTTTTATAATTTGCTTTAACTCACAGTAGAAAACATTTGAATATTAGTTTCCCCACTAAATTGTTTCCCGTGTTTGGTGTCTTGAAACAGATTATCTATTTAAATTAAATATTTATTAACTAATTCCTTCAAGCATCAAAGCTGTTGAATACATATAGATAGCAATTGCAATAAACAAGTGGCTTTCAAGCAGAATATCTTATTGCTATGTATAATTACCAGGAAATAATACAAATTTTCAGTCATGGCTTTGACTGTTGAGAGATAAGAAAAAGACAATCTTAAATCAGGAATAACAGATTTCAGAAAGATCAAGGTTAGTTTCTCAGGGTAAATGTTTGCTTGCTGGCTAAGAATGTTGTCTTATTTTTTCCCATTCATTTTTCACCCATCCATTCATTCATTCCACATACCTGTGCTAGATACAGAACTAGGTCTTGGGGATATAATGGCTTCTGCCCTCTCATAACTTCAGTTCTTAGTGTACCAGCAAAAGGAAAAGCTTTTCTAAATTTGTAGAAGGCAAAGGTTGTGACCTCTTTTTCCCTCTATTTTAATTGCTTTTGCTCACACTTCCAATATCCATTTCATTGTCCACCTGTTCATGGGCAGCAAAGGTATCTTTACTGACAGGATTTCAGCCTGTCTGGCTTTCTTTCATGCAATTGCAAAAGGCTCCAGATGTTTTCATGATTGGCTCCTGTCATGTATGCCCTCACTTGACTAGTGTCTCCATAAAGATCACCTAGTCTGAAGTATTCCTTGCCAGCTAACCATCACACCCACTTGTTTTATTTTCATTGTAGCTTTTGTCTCTGTCTGATACTTTCCTTATTTTCCTATTTAATCTCTGTCTCCCTCTTTTCTACGAAAGCTCCATGGGGGTAGACAGGTGCCTTATCTAGCTTGTTCACCTCTGAATTCTAAAACAGTGCTTGACACCCAGTTGGCATCATTAAATATTTGACGAATGAATGAATGGATTCCTAATTGACTACTGCTTGGGGGCACCAACATTACTACTGATACTGATTCATCCTTGTTGAGAAATTTTTAGTTCTCACGTATAGGCAGATTCATCAGAATTTAAATCTAAGCTTTAAAATTGCGAATAATTTGGAAACGTGGGAAGCATCTTGAAGAGAAATACTTGTAGCATTCATGCCATCAGAAACAGTAATGGAAGGAAAGTTTTTCTCTGACATGGATACTCTTTATCGGTATCATTGGAAAATTCTTGCCTATTTTTGTTGGTTTGCTCAGGAACTGGGAAAATCTGGGCAGATGAAGAACGTTGTTCCTTTTTAAATGAAGGGTTATAATAACTTTGGGGGTTGGGAACGGGGGAGAAAATGCCCTTAGAAATGAAATCAGTCTGGAGAAAATTAGGAGACGCTTCTGTCTGTCCCTTGTTTAAAAAAAAAAAAAAAGATTTCCTTGGGTCTTCAAGAGTCTTACTTAAGTGAAGCTTCCTAGAAAGTTCTCAGTTTGCGTCGTGTTCTACATAGGCAGACTCTGGAAGCAGTAAAACCCAAAAGAGTGTCTGGCCCCTCCTAGTTTATGTTCATCCCGGTCTTGAAAGTTGCGGCTACAGGACAGGCTTTGGCTGCTGTCTAGAACGCCGTTCCGATCCCTTTAAAGGTGGGGTTCATGACGGAGGATGCGGGGGAAGAAGGCGGGAGCAGAGGCTGGAGAGTCTCGGTTGACATAGTAACTCTTCAGCTCCGTTTCCCTCTCAGGCTCCGTTGTCACCCGCGGCCCCGCCTGTGCTCTCGGTGGAGAGCAGTGGCCGCCTCCTCGCTGGGTCCCCTCGGCCTTACACGCTCTGGTTAAAGCTCCTGTTCCGCCCCCTAAGTGGTGGCTTCTTCCCGGGCAGCGGGGGAGCCACTTGCGGAGCCCAGACCGCCGGGCGTCCCCACCCCCTGCTGAATCTCGTCCCCTGGGCATCCGTCTGCCCCGGGCCAGTACAGCGGGCGAGAGGACCCTCCGCGCCAGACCCCCATCGCCGGATTCCGGCTGGAACTGCGGAGGCTCCTCCCCTGAGAACGGGACCCAGGCCAGTCCCGCGTTCCCACCATGAACCAGAGCCCGGCGTTCGGGCCCCGGAGGGGAGGCTCTCTCCCCGCCGCGGCCGGGGCCGGGGCGCGGCGCAACGAGAGCCAGGACTATCTGCTCATGGACTCGGAGCTGGGAGACGACGGCTGCTCGCAGCCCCCCTGTGACTACTACCCTTGCTTGTAAGTGCGGGCTCCGCGGGCGGGCGGCGCGGGCGAGCCGCGGGGAGCTGTGCGCTTGCAGTAGTGGGCGTACGAGGGTCGGCGCGGGCGAGTCTCAACACGCACGGGTGCCTGAGAGTGCCGGTGGTAGTAGGTCCGCGCGAGTGTAGGTTGGTGCCCGAGTGAAGGGATGGGTGCGCGCCGGTCTGGGTTTGCCCTTGATGAGTACGCCTGGATATGTTTGCCCCCAAGAGTCTGAGACGGCCAAGTGCTCGGGCCCGCAGGTGATCAGCTATCTGGTCAATTTTTTCGACCCAGATGTCACTCCGCGCCACTCAAAGAGACCCAGTGTCGCTGCGCAAAAGGCATACTCCGGGCAAGAGACTGTTTCGAATCGGCGTCCCCGTGACTCTTACACCATGCGGGAGAGCTGACTCTAAGGGGTCCTTGGTGCCGCCTCGGTGCGTCCGGGAAACAAGGGAGCCCGTGCGCCCGGCAGTCTACACGCTCTGCCAGCCTTGGCCCTTCATGTGGCGCGCACGGGTCCACGACCCGCCGAACAACCGGAAAGTTGGAAGATGCGCGTGGGACTGGGTGGTCCTGGCTAGTGGTCGCTGGAACATCCTCTCCCTCGGTCCCGGGCGTTGAGGTTGAGACGGAGAACCTCTAGGCTTCTGCGCCGGTGGCGCGAATCTTTTACTAAGGGAGACAAGTCTGTTATGGGCGCAGGCGGGGAGACTTGCGAACTGTAGAACGACAGGGTGCTTTGTAGTGGACTTCAGGTACTTACGACACTTTAAGAGTCTGCTTTTTTTGGGGGAGGGGTGGATGGTGGAGGGTGGAAAAGGGAAGAAAAAAGCCTCCCCTCCTCCACAGGCGTGTGACTACACGTGCAGCTGGCAGATAGCGTTTCTCTCCGCTTTACCCCTTTACTTAATTGGGTAGTCAAGTTTCTTGACTGGTCACAGCCATCCACTGTCGTTTCCCGAGGAAAGCATTTCTCAGCTCTCCAAACAGCTCTAGGGGGAGGAGAGTTCCGCTTCATGGACCCTTATGATGACTGGGTGGGCCTTACGGGTACCGGCCAGGGCTGTTGGAGCCAAGGGCCGCCGCGGTTCCCTTTCAAAGTAAGAGCTGAACCTCAGGAAACAAAACGTATATTTTCCCCCCAAGATAAAAGACAAAAGTTGGAACTGGCTCCATTCATCCGAGGCCTATAGACTTTTAAAACATTGGCTATAGCTTACTTTCCCTCCCCCCCCCCTTTTTAAAACAATTGAGATGTTTGCATACCATAAAAGTCCTCTTTAAAAGTGGATAATTCAGCGGTTTTTAGTAAATACAGAGAATTATGCAACGATCACCAGTATGTATAGAATTCAGAACATTTGCATGTTCACTTCAAGAAAAAACCTGGCCCTAAGGTTAAATTAGAAAACATTTCTATTTCTCATAGTACAGGGCTTCGCAGACTTTAATTGGCATAAGGTCACCGAGGGATCTTGATAAATGCAGACCCTAATTCAGATTTTAGGTACAGCTGGAGATTCTCCATTTCTAACAATCTCTCAAATGATGTTGATGCTGCTTGTCCGTGGTCCACACTAGAGTAGCAAGGAGACAGATGATAAGAAAAAATAACAATAGAAAAATTAATCAGTCTTGGGTATTCTTAATGCAGCCATTTTCGAATTTGCTTTGTTGGAGGCTATATATTTAAAATTTAGATGGAGTTTTTTTACTGGCTAAGACTTTAGATCTAAGCTTGAAAGTTTTATGTTAGGTAAAGTTACCTGCAGGCTAAATTAAACAACTTAAAAAAGCTATACCCCTTTTTAAAAATGGACACAATCTTTTCTATTTTTATTACCAGATCACCCTGTAAACAGTAGTTACTGTGTTTGTGGGAAAAATAATTTGATTTAAACAATTGTGGTTATAAATTAGTAACGATAGAGAAATATAGTCAGAATTCCAAGTTGTACTGAAAACTTTTCGCCACTGCCTTCTTCAAATGCAGTTTACTGCCAAATTGATGTATCTAGTTTTTTACATTATCTGCTATTTAGAGAGTAAGCTTTTTTTTCTTTAGTTCAGCAAATCCAGACCACTTTTAATAGATGGACCTGAACGGCAGAGAGATGAACAGAAATACTTTACTGCGCTTTTAGTTGATAATGAGTACCCCTGTTTCATGTTGGCTGAACCATACTAAATTTAAGAGTGGACTAAGTCCCAGAATCAGAGTTTAGTCTTGTCTGAGTCTGTTATCCCCAAAAGATTCTATAATTATTTTTCATGCACTGTTTTCTCTGGCAAGGTGGTCTTTTTTTCCTTCCCAGTTTAATAATCAAGTAACAAAAAATGTAGCCAATGAACAACAGTACTTTACACCTATGATTTATGAGAATGAACTAAAGAAAATTATTTCTCTGGTAGAGAACATAAATAAGTCCTTGCATATGCTTTTGAGATTGTGATTTAAACAATTTCATATCTTGTTGCGAAGTGGGAGGTGTAGTATTCGTGCCAGTGGCAATCACTAGTAGACTTTAGGTACATGTATTGGCAATTTCCCAAACTTGAGATTTTTCTTTATAACAGCCTAAATTTTTGTAAGTTGTCATTTTTGTGGGATAAATTCTATGACTCTTACCAAAAAAAAAAAAAGAAAAAAATACTGTTCCAGAGTTTACTGATGTAGAAAGATCTTTACACATATTCATGTAGTTTTATTGCTGAAAATTATGGTAAGTTAACTTGTTTGAGAGCGATTAAATATTCTCAGGTCTTAATAGCGTAAGTCATAACATTTGGAAATGGTGTTTAGAAAAATATTCAAATTTTCTTTTTTTGGTCAACTTTTCACCTGGAAATCAGTTAATCATTCTGTTGTGATCAATTTGCAGTGGTCATTAGCAAGATATGGTCCATGTCCTGCCAAGATCCCAGTGGGTATATCAGAGAGTTTCTTCATTTACTTAGAAAATATGTTTCTAGTCATCACTTTTGAACAAGAGGAAGAATCCTGAATATAAAAAAAAAATATCAAGAGTTTCTACATTCTCAACATCTGAAAAACAGTCCAGCTAAATTTTCTTCTTGGGAAGTACTGATTAAGTAATTATGAATAATGAAGCAGTAAACTGTTTCTAAACTAAAGTTTTAGCAACACAGTAGACCGAGATTATCTAAAAAGCTTATGTTTACAAATATCTAGGAATACTGGATAAAATATTAAAAATGATTTTAAAACATTACCCAGTTTTACAAAAAATAAAGGGAGTTACTATGTGCCCAGAGCAAAGAAGTAAAAGCCCAAGTGTAGACTGAACTGATGCTGTGGTTGGCTTTGAAAGTTAAGGTTCTCAGTAACTCTCAAGATGTTGGAGGCTGTTGTCCATATGGAGAAAGAAGCTAAGGTCTTTGTCCCAGATGAGACAGAAAGTTGGAACCAAGACATTCCTACTCCTGTAAAGACCGTTAAAATAGGACCTTTATTTTAATGAAAAGTTAGGCTAGAAAAATATGCCCACCAGCCAGAGTGAGAAAAAGAAACATTAATATGAGGAAAAGCAGTCTTCTCCTAGGAATTCCATTCCTTGGACTGCATGGTTTTTATTTGTTTTGTTTTGTTTTTTGTTGTTGTTTTGTTTTAACACTACCTAAGTGACCTAGAAATCCTCTAAGGAATCCTCAAATCCTTAGAGTATGGACTCAGGCCTATGAGTCATTAAATTATTGTATATTTCTTACCTCTCCCTCACTTTTGCCTCCAGATGTCTGGCATATATGTCTGTGAAAGCTGAAAAATACCCCTGAGGCTCCCAGAAAAGTAAAACACAGTACCACCAAAGAATAGTACCAACCATGTAGACTGTCAAAGATTTTTAGTAAAAAGTAAACCCTGCTAAATATATGCTCACTATAGTAAATGACAAAACATACAAGGAAACAGTCAGCCATGAATGAGAGTCAGCAGATCATACAAACCGTGAGAGTTAGCGTAAGACATAACAGCAGTCTTGGATCCTTAAGAAGTTATGTTGTGGATGGAATTCTGTCCCCCCAAAATATGTGTTCTAAACCCTAACTCCCTATACCTGTGGATGTAATCCTATTTGGAATAGAGTTTCTTTGTTTTGTTAATGAGGCCATATCAGTATAGGGTGTTTCTTAAACCAATCACTTTTGTGATATAAAAGAGCAGATTAGGTATAGAAGAAAGAAGCAGGAATGGGGAAAGATAGATGCCACGTGGAAATCACCAAGAAACCAAGGAAGAGAAGCTGAAAGAGACAAGGACTTTCCCACAGGGCAGATGAGAGAGCCTTGTCCTAGAGCTGGTGCCCTGAATTCATACTTCTAGCCTCCTGAACTGTAAGAAAATAAATTTCTGTTGTTAAAGCCACCACTTGTGATATTTTTGTTACAGCGGCACTAGTTAACTAAGATAAGATAACAGCATGGAAGAGAATATAAGTATGTATAAAAGGTCAATATGAAGGAAGAAATCAAACCCTAAGAACAGAACAAGACTTATTTAAAACAACAAATGTTCTAATAACTAGAACATCAATAAATAAAAATTGTAATTATTGAAATAAAAAAACTCAATGGAAGAGTTAAACAGCAGGTTAGGCATAGCATAATTAAAGATAATGCCCAGCATGCAATATAGAGACATAAAGAAATGGAAAATATAAAAAATATTGAGTCATGGAATGAGAAGCTAGGATTTCCAGAAGGATAGAATACAGAGAATGGGAGAGGGGCAACATTTGAACAGATGATGGGTGATAATTTTCCAGAAATGATGAATTCTCATGTTCAAGAAGTATAATTATTAGTGAGATACAGAAAAATAAACCTAGTTTTAAACATACCATATTGAAATTGCAGAACACCAAAGAGGAAGTATTAAAAATGAATAAAATAAAAGGGATTTACACCAGTAAGTTTTAAAATTTAAATTACTTAAAGTAGAAATGTACTCATAATGTATTTTGATATTTAGTTAT